TAAATTTATATATATATAAACCATAAAACTAAACATCATGATGATGTCTATTGGCTTGTGACAGTTTTGATTCTTTTTTTTTTTTTAATAAACAAAGCTTACTTTATATATAGGATATGTAGGAATAAAATCTAGAGGCATTGAGCTTATGGTAGTTTTAAGAAACTCTATTTTTAGGATTGGACGATGTTATTATAATTATATAAAAAAAAAAAAATCAAATTGGGTTTTGGCATCAGATGCAGTTATGGGCCTTATGGCCCACAAATCATTTTTGCGCATATGATACACTTGCCCATGTGTAACCGTGGGTGCTAGTCTTGTATAAGTAGCTGGTAGTTGATTTCTAAATCTAACCGTTAGAGACATTTTACTAAATATAGCAATATCATTTCAATAGTTGATTTAGAATTAATAGTTGATAATGATTCATTAACAAAGTTTTGTTTAGTGCATCAAAAAAAAAAAAAAAACAAAGTTTTATTGACAATGAATTCTTAAGAACCAATGAAAATTACAATCATGTCATGTTGTGAGAATTTATTATCAATAAACGTTGTTAATAAATCATATTCATTTATAAGAGAATGAAGGGTTGAAGAACAGTTTTAACCTTTTAAATTTTGGAAATGACACTTTCGTGTATCCCTTTATAAAAAAGGGGGTCACTTTGTCCCTCTATTTTCAAAGTACAACTTTTTTTTTCTTTCTTTTGTTATTCCCTTTTGTTTATAGGTACCTCTCAACATGGTTTCTTATGGATGTGGCATCAACAATCCCATTTGAGGCATTAGGCTACTTATTCACAGGCAAAAGCAAAATGAGTGTCTCTTATTCCCTTCTGGGACTGCTAAGATTTTGGCGACTCCGACGAGTTAAGCAACTATTCATCAGGTTTAATTTAATCTCAGTTATTCGCCTACAAGCCAAAATGTTACTTAGTCTCATCAATCCATAAGCTTACACAAAATTCATTTGTAGACTGGAGAAAGATATCAGATTCCCCTATATCTGGGTCAGATGTGCTAAACTTCTGGCTGTAAGTTGTCAAAGTAATATGAAATTTTATATTACTTAGTATTGAAATGATCAATTTAATTGATTGTGCACTTAAATTTGATTTTTGGGGGCATAGGTGGCGTTATTTTTAGTGCATTGTGCTGGATGCTTGTACTACTTGCTTGCTGACCTGTATCCACACCAGGGCAAGACATGGCTAGGGTCAATAAACCCTAATTTCAGGCACACAAGCCTTTGGATTAGATATATTTCAGCTTTATATTGGTCCATTACTACCATGACCACAGTTGGCTATGGTGACCTCCATGCTGTAAACACAGTGGAAATGATCTTTATAATTTTCTACATGCTCTTCAACCTTGGCCTCACTGCATATATAATAGGTAACATGACAAATTTGGTTGTTGAAGGAACTCGTCGTACCATGGAATTTGTAAGTAAGATAATCATATATTGTTATGACAATTTTCAATGTAGTCTCAAGAATCATGAATTTTTGAGAATTTTGGCTTATGATGCAGAGAAATAGTATTGAAGCAGCATCAAATTTCGTATCCAGAAATAGATTGCCTCCAAGACTGAAAGAGCAGATATTGGCTTATATGTGCCTGAGATTTAAGGCTGAGAGCTTGAACCAGCACCAAATGATAGAACAATTACCAAAATCAATATGCAAAAGCATCTACCAACATTTGTTCTTACCAACAGTGGAGAAAGTCTACCTTTTCAACTGTGTATCAAGGGAAATTCTATTACTCTTGGTACTAAACACCCTCATTAATCTATACTTGCAATGAAACTTAGTATAAAATATGAGAAATATTCAAGTCTAACAATGTAATGAGAGTTGGGAGATTTTCAGGTTGCAAAGATGAAAGCTGAGTACATGCCTCCTAGGGAGGATGTGATCATGCAAAATGAAGCACCAGATGATGTTTACATAATTGTGTCTGGGGAAGTGGAGATTGTTGACTGTGAGGGGGAGAAAGAAATTGTTGTAGGAACTCTCCAATCCACAGACATGTTTGGAGAAATTGGTGCATTATGTTGCAGACCTCAGAGGTTTACATTTCGAACAAAGACATTATCTCAACTCTTGAGGCTCAGAACTAGTGATTTGATTGAAGCAATGCAAGCTAAACAAGAAGACAATGTTTCCATGCTTAAAAACTTCCTCCATGTAACTGGTTAAATGCTTCTTCTTTTTTATTTTCCTTTGAAAAGTCTTTTGTGTGCTCCTATTAAGGATTATAATGTGTTGAACTGCAGCAAAACAAGAAGCTTAAGGATCTTAAAATTGGAGATTTAATATTCAAGGGCGGCGATGAAGATGAAGATCCAAACATGTCGATTAATCTGCTGTCTGTGGCTGGAATAGGCAATGCTGCTTTTCTTGAGGAACTTCTAAAGGCAAAGTTGGATCCTGATATAGGAGATTCCAAGGGGAGAACTCCCCTGGTAACTTTCTACTTAGCCTAACGATCACCATAAGATCTATTCTAGTCAATATGCTTAAATCATTGGTTTAATTTTCTTACTCTTAGCATATAGCAGCATCAAATGGACATGAAGATTGTGTAATGGTACTCATCAAGCATGCCTGCAATATCCACCTTCGAGGTAAAATGCCATCCCAATGGCTTACTTTCATCATAGAAAGTGGTTCTTATGATAACTAAATATGGCAGATCTGAATGGTAACACTGCATTATGGGATGCAATATCATCAAAACACCATTCAGTATTCCGGATCCTATACCATTATGCGGCCATTTCTGACCCCTTCACTGCGGGTGACCTTTTATGCACTGCTGCTAAAAGAAATGACATTGAGGTGATGGAGGAACTACTGAGACATGGGTTGAATGTTGATGCAAAGGATCGCCATGGATTGACAGCATTACAGATTGCCATGGCAGAGAATCATGCAGACATGGTTAATTTTCTAGTGATGAAGGGGGCAAATGTTGCGAATGTGAGTACTCATGGGTTATCTTGTATGAATTGGAATGAAATGGTGCAAAATCAAGAAATTGAGCACAGAATCACAATTCTGGATAGCAATCTTAATGGAGCCTCGAAAAGGATGGAAGGAGGACATGAAGAAAAATGCCATGGAATCAATAATCTAAGGGTGAGTATTTATAGAGGCCATCCTTTAGTGAGGAAGGAAACTTGTTGTAGGGAACCGGGGAGACTAATAAAGTTGCCAAATTCACTTGAGGAGCTCAAGAAAATTGCAGGTACATTTTCTTTGCACCTAGCTACTTCATTGATTATTTTGCATTTTTTTCCCTAACTTTATTTCTTATTTAATTACTTTAAACAGGAGAAAACTTACGAATTTCTGATGTCACAAATGCTACTGTGACAAATGAAGAAGGAGATGAAATAGACTCCATTGAAGTTATTAGAGATAATGATAAGCTTTTCATCAATGAAAGCCCAATAAATTCAACAGTTTTATAATAGAAAGAGTATATTCAGGTTCAAGTTCATCCTTATAAAATTGTACAACATTATCTCTGGTGATCAAGAAAAAATTTAGCTTCTTTCTCTCAACCATTTCC